TTAAGCCAGTATTGTCATCCTGGGAAATGTATGAGGAAACCACAGCGCCCCCAGGCCACCCCAGCCCTGAGGCTGGGCCCCGGGGCTGCAGTCACATGAAATGTTGCTTTAGCAGCAGAACCTGCCTGAGAAGTTCCTCCTGCCGCAGCTGTGAGCCACAATTCACTCGCCTCCAGCTGTGCCAGAATCCAAAGCATGGAAGTGAGCCCATCTGAAAACAGCTCAACAAGAAAGGGTTCGCTCTTAGCCCTTTTCAGCAGGCCATGGGCAGATGTAGAGCCTCTCAAACAGTTGCATCAGTGCTATTTGGAAGAAATAAAATGTAGCACAGGGCTTTGCACAGCCTTTGCTATTAGTGCAGAGGATTGTGCAATGGATCTTACTTGCCCAGGCCTTAGAGCATGTCCGTACTCCACCAGAGCTGGTATGTTTCTAGCATGCCTGCAATTCTCATGGATGAAAACTGTCTGTCTGGAAGTTATTTCCTCAGTTTTCTAGTCAAGTAGTAAAACGAGTTTGCTATTGCACGAGCAAAAGCTGATGGGGTTGCCATTCTGGTACCCTTTGGTTACAACTTCCCCATCAGACAGCAGCCTAATTCATCACGTTCTTGACTCCGATAAACAGGAATCATACGTACAGCAGAGCAAGAAACAGTTCTTCTCTAACAAAGTATTTGCCAAATTAGGGATCTTATTCCTATTCCCACACTGCCAGCTTTGGTCTGTTTGATTGGATGTGGGAATTTAAGGTCAGATCTCCCTCGTCACAAACCCCCAGCTATTAGCTACTTTGGACTTGGATGTGGAATAAGGGCAGTTTTTTCTGTGTTTGTGGTGGATCAATGGTTGTACAGAGGGCTGTTCAGTGAACAGATGGGTCAGTCTAGCCACATATTTGTCAAGAAGCAAAGGGCGAAAAAATCAGCTGGGGGAAATGCAGAGGGCACGCCCTCAGAGTCAGGGAAAACTTCTTGTTTCTAAAACCCAAGTGAAAGGTGTAAATGGTTTTCAATGTATACAGATGACATCTGCATAATTAATTGCACTGATTTAAGTTACACCAATTTTTTTGTGTAGGTAATGCCAAAGGCTATGCTGTTATCTTAGAGGAATGTTTGTGTCTGGAGATTCATTCTCACCCTGCCAATAATAAACCTTCCCTGGAGTTTCTAAAACATTAATTATGATTTTGTAACGCAAAAGTTTTGCAACCAGCTCAAGGTAATTCTCTGTAACACCTCGTTGTGACAGAAACAAATTAATCACAGATTGGAAAACTGACAGTTGCCTAGGCATGAGTGCTCAGGACTTTATTACGTTTGTTATGTATAAATAAAATAAGGCTCACCGTACTTGCCAGCCAGCCTGCCTACATACACATTCACACACACACACTCTCCGATGTAAAAGAATCAACTTCCCCCAGCTAACAAGCAATCGCAAACAACATCAAGCAGGAGGAAAAACTAAAAGTGAAAAATCTCAGACACAACTGGGCATCACTTACTACTGTATTACACATTCAAAAAACTGTGACAGAAGGCTGCTGGACTCGTAGGCCCATCCCAGCCAAGCGGATGTACTGGAAAGCAGTAAAAAACCCAGCCCTAGTTAAGCCCAGCGAGTTGCTTTGTAATCACACCCTCTTTAGAGCCATTCACGACATACCAGGTTAAGTGGTTTATTTTCAATCATGAAACGAGCCTCAGGTGACAAATTTAAATCTCCCAAAGAAAGCATGAAGATTTTTTGTTTCCAAATTTGAACAGTTACCACATAGGACTAAAAATTAAAAAAAAAAAGGCAATTTTTAGATCATACATAAGAATAAAGATTCCCCTTAGTCCTTGTTGCGTCTCCGCTACCTCCTGGAGGAGAATTCTGCTTCCCAACCTGGCACTCTAGGGCTGCCTTTCCTCCTTGGCCATCTGGGACGGAGCTTCCCTGAATTCACATTTGCATTCTGTTTCTTAAATTCACATTTGCATTCTGTTTCTTGCACATTCCTTCAAATTACGGTGGCTTTCTTGCAAGCCATCACACATTTAGGACTGTGGCAGTTCTTTATAAATTGTGTAAGAAATGTCAGCTCTCTTATTAGATTCAACACCCAACTCAGAAATAGCTTTTCAAGAGACATGCTAAAAAGGTACATAACAGTCATGATATTCAAAGTATTTTCTCTGCGTGACTTCCTTGGCCATTTGTTAGTCTTGAGGGACCACGTATCATCTCCAAAAGGAGAAAGGCAAAAACAGCAATTCAGCACTGAAGGAAATGAAGCTAAGAGTGTCAAAAAAAAAAAAAAAAAGTGCCCACAGGGCTGAGGATAAGGAAAAGGCATTACTTAACTAGATCAGAAACAAATGCCGTACGAACAGTGCTGTAAGTCCACTGCCATGTATAAACGGTAAAACTGTCATGTCACAGGAAAGAAAACTCAGTAAGCAATTCTGTCTTTTATTACCATGGAAGGAGGATGACATATTCATACCTTAACATAAAACGCTTCCCAATCTATTAGTACCTAGGAAAGATATTAAACATAAGCCATTACCGTTAACACCTTTTTAAAAACTGCAGCACTTGATAACATATACCCAGCAGTTTTATCAGCTAAGGAAGCCAGTGAACAATTAACATTGATAGTCAATAAATCCTAACAGCCTCTGCAAGTTCCGTAAGACTGAAAAAAAAATCTAAAGCCATACTCGCGTTTTAAAAAAGAAAGTGGGATGACAATTAAGTCCTGGTCAATTAGTCTAATAAAAAGAGTCATAAATAAAATTACATACATGTTGATATGGGACACAATAAGGAAAGAAGTAAAAGACAGTTAATTAGTAAGAATGAATTACCAGACCTGACACCAGCCAGCACGCCTTGCTAGAAATTAGGTCTTGGCAAGCAAAAGTTAAAAACAGATAAATGAAGCATCTCGAAGAGTCCAGAACCACCCAAATGGGATGCATCAAGCAACGTCTCATGAGGATCTATTCTTGACCCGGTGCTGTAGGATTTTTTATCATTTTTAAAAAGAGCCACAGGCTAACGTGTGCTTGAAAAGTACTGCCCAAGGGGCAAATAATGTGGGGCAGGTGTTTTCCAATGCCCAAACTAATTTACTTGCTAAAACAAACTTATGGAGCAAGGGAATTACTCCAGACCAGCTCACGGCCGCACACCCAGCAGGAGAAAGTAAGCCCACGCTCCAAACCCAGGAGCGGCGTTGTAGGATCTGACAGCCAAAACCAATTCAGAGCAACAGCGCGCGCCTGACTCCAGTAATAAACCCAATACTCTGTCCTTAATCGTGCAAAATCACCAAAAAACTGGACAGGATTCAGAAAATGACTCCAAGAAGGCTTCCAAGCGTAGAAAAAGGCACAGCAAGAGACAGAGCCCCGTGGCACAGATGCGGCTGTCGGTCCGGGCTGCGCTTCACGGCAAAACAGGCTCCCGGCCCCCAGGAAAGCTGTCGCTGTCCCCGTCCAGGCCCAGAGCTAGCGCAGAGGGGACGTCGGGGCCGGCAGACG